GTTAGTCCTGTGAGAACTGTTAGTCCTGTGAGGACTGTTAGTCCTGTTATGAATGTTTACTGAGGTAATAGATAAAGAGAGAAGTAGAGTCATTTTCTCATAGACTTCTATACAACCAGAGGAGTCGCCCCCTGGTGGTCACTAGAGAGAATGCAGCTTTAACACATGAAGGTCTGACTTCACTCTTCAGAACCGGAGGTTGCCGCCTGCTCCAGACCTTCTCAATATTGAGGCAGCAGAATGTTTCATCCTGACACTGTGCTGTAAAGTGTCTGTTTACCGTATAAGAACAAACATGAACGTGATGGAGGCGTCTCAGTCGTTCTGCTGGCTGTGAGCCGGTGTTTTGATCCTCTGGGGAAAAAGACGATAAGCTGCTCCTCAGTCCACATGGCACCATATGCGACCGCTCATGCATTTTCTAAATGATGCCAGAGAGCTGCATATGTCCTCGAATGCCTCGTCACGCCGCATTAATGCAGCTGAGCCGGGAAAAAAAAATAAGCTGCTGCGACTCAGAGCGACGTGTTTTCACTTGTTTCTATCGATAACGTGGAGTAAACAGACATCTGATCGGTTTAGACACAAACTGAGGGATTATTTTTTTATAATAAATTGAGCTCTTCACTGTCAGCAGCTGGAGCTCAACTGTTCGTCATGAGATCATAGAAAATAATAATAATAAGAGCTGTAAACGTACATAAAATCTCCTGTTTATGAGAAACATTTTCATCTTAAAGGATTTAAGTTTAAACAATGAGATTAAACTTCATAATATTTGATATGAACTCTTCAGGATGGTTTGTTTTTGTGTATTTAGTTAATAACAATATTAATAAATACATATTAAAAACATACAGTATATATATATATATATATATATATATATATATATATATGAACCAGTACGTTGGGAACTGGCGACAAGACAGCTGTAACAAAAAATGACAAAATGATTTAAAAACAACGAGCTTTGTGAATTAAATTTTTTTTTTTTTAATGACAGTCAGAATGATGAGTCCACATTTAAAATGTCTTTAATTGTCTCTCTGTTTATTAGATAATTGACTATATGTACACAATTTTGGAATTCCATCGGAAGAAAGTGATTAAAATAGAGATAATAGTTTAATAAAAAGTGTAATATTGATGAATGTTGCCGTGCTGCGTTCAGGTACATCCAGGCAGCCACGTCTCCCAAAGACATCATCATCATGGTGGACATCAGCGGCAGCATGAAGGGGCTGAAGATGACCATCGCCAAACACACCATCAACACCATACTGGACACACTGGGAGAGAACGACTTCGTCAACGTTATCGCTGTGAGAGACACACACACAGGGACACACATACAGACACACACACACACACACACATACAGACACACACACACACACACATACAGACACACACACACACGTACAGAGACAGACACACACACACACCCTCACAGACTCACTCACACACACACACACTCACTCACTCACTCACTCACTCACTCACACAGACACACACACATACAGACACACACATCATCGACCAAACACAGTGACATTACATCAGTGGTAGAAGAAGTGAAGGTACTAATACTACTCTTCGTCTCCTCCTCTTCATCTCCTCGTCTTCGTCTCCTCCTCTTCGTCTCCTCTTCATCTCCTCCTCTTCATCTTCTCCTCTTCATCTTCTCCTCGTCTTCGTCTCCTCCTCTTCGTCTCCTCCTCTCAGTACACTGACTATGTCCGGTACGTGGAGCCGTGCTTCAAAGGAACTCTGGTCCAGGCCGACTTAGACAACAGAGAGGTGAGACCATCATCTGCTACACACACACACACACACACACACACACACACACTCACATAGCTTATCATGTGTTGTTTTTTTATACAAAATCTTAATCTGAAAGGTAACTAATAACCAAAGCTGGTAAACAAATGTAGTAAAATATAAACTAGAAGTAGAGAAGTCTGACCGTGGTTTAGAACTTTATGAAGATATTTCTAGTACTTTTTTGAAGCACAAATTAAATTCCATTCACCTCCATTGTGTGTTAATGTGAAGTAAGAGTTTCTTTCTTTGTCTGTCAGCACTTTAAACAGCTGGTGGACGAGCTGCACGTTAAAGGAGAAGCCAAGATCAAGAACGCCATGAAGGAGTCCTTCAAGATCCTCAACGAGGTTTGTGTCCTTTGGAATGAGCATTAGCATGAGCAAGAAGCAACATGACAACATGATCTGTGTGTGTGTGTGTGTGTGTGTGTGTGTGTGTTTAGGCGAGGGCGAGCGGTCAGGGCAGCATGTGTAACCAGGCCATCATGCTGATCACAGATGGAGCCATGGAGGACTTTGAGTCCGTTTTTGAGGAATTCAACTGGCCCGAGCGCAGGGTGAGACCCCCCCCCCCCCACCCCCACACACACACACACACACACACAGGTTAACTGGGATTCCTCTCCCTTTCACCGGCGAAGTGAGCTAGGCTGAAGACCTACCATATGTCATCACAAAGCACAGCTACATTCGAGGCCTTTATTATTAGGCTTCTACTCAAAATCATGAATCATATTACTCATCCCTTTTAAAGAGCTCTTGGTCTCTTCTCTACGAACAGGAAGTCCAGTGACTCACTCTGACCTGTAAAGGGTCATTCATGCATTTATCGCCTCTCATTAGACTGGCTGTTATGTGATGTCTTCTCTTTACTGCTTTATTTTATTTTTGTTTAATTCATTATTTTTTTTTATTTTATGTTATTTTTGTTTAATTCATTATTTAATTTTATTCTCTTTTATTCTCTTATTTTATTCTCTTCTTTCTTTTTTTTCAGGTGAGAGTCTTCACCTACCTGATCGGCAGAGAGATGACCTTCGCCCAGAACACCAAGTGGATCGCCTGCAACAACAAAGGTGTGTGTGTGTAGTGTGTGTGTGTGTGTGTGTGTGTGTGTGTGTGTGTGTTTGTGTGTCTCTCATACACTGCCCGTCTCTCTGTGTGTTTTCTCAGGTTTCTACACACACATCTCCACGCTGGCTGACGTGCAGGAGAACGTGATGGAGTATCTGCACGTGCTCAGTCGGCCGATGGTCATCAACCACGACCACGACATCATCTGGACCGAGGCCTACATGGACTCTGTGGTGAGCCGGAGCCGGCCAATCAGAGAGCTCGAAAAGGAGCAGTTTGGTTTTCAACATCTTGTATCAGAAATGAAGTTCTCATTTTGGGGTTGAACTTCTCCTGTTCAGTCATCATCATCATCATCACTTCACCTTCATCTGTCCGTCTGCTTCCTCCCTGTGTTTTTTTTCCCATGATCCTCTGGGCCTCTCCATCCCGTCGCTCCGGCAGCTTCCCAGCACCAAGGAGGTAAAGAAGAAGAAGAAGATGAAGTTGTAGTTTTAGATGAAGAGGACTTAACGAGTAGAAGCAGACTCCCTCCCAGTCCCTGAACCAGCTTTAATAAGATACTTCTTTGTGTTCATGGATTCACTTCACACTTTAACAGATAACTTTTCAAGTCTTTGGTTTTTGGTCGTTGTCGTCTTGTTTTTTGTAAGTGACACCAGAGGGCGGAGCTAAGCACAACCAAACGCTGAATTAAACGTTTTTTTAGGCGACCAAAGTATGATTATTAACTTTAATGAAGTGAAAACACTTTTAAAGGGTTAGAAGTTTTAAGACACAAACACGGACAACGCCAATTATACTATAAAATTATAATAATAGTTACAATAATATTTCAATATATTCAAATATTCATGTCGTTGTGTTCATGTAAAAACTCTAACGGAGTTTACAAATGAGTTTCCAAACATCAGTTCAGTTTCTTAGCATACAAAAGTAGAAGTAGAGGTTTTATTGTCTTTATATTCTCTGATGATAAAATCACACATTTTACACATAAATATTTCACAAATTATATATAAACGCATATGAACGACTCCCTTTAAGTGACTTTAACGACCCTCCTGGAGGGTCCTGGCCCTCATGTTGACAACCGCTGCTTTAGACTGTAGTAGTGATTGCAGTGTTTTTAGTCCTACATCGCCCCCTGGAGTTCATCATCAGAGCTGCACTGTAGTGTCACAATAAGCATTCTACACATCTGATGAGTCACAGAGATAACGTATGTGTGTTGTTTGTGTGTTTGTCTCAGCTCTTCAACACCAAAGCTCAGAGTCTGCTGCTCATGACCTCGGTGGCCATGCCGGTCTTCAGCAAGAAGACGGAAACGGTCAGCGTCATGATGTCAAATATCATTAATGTATAACGATTATGTACAATAAGTCACAACGTACCTGAAGGTGGTCGTTTGTCTTTAAAGATGGGAGCAGTTACTTCTGACCATGTTGTCTTTCTTTGGTCCAAAGATCTCAACAAATATTAGATTTTAATTTAACTTTTTCTTTTAACAAATATTACATTTTTTATTGAACGTTTCATTTTTAACATTCTGTAGGAACCATGTGCTTTCACAGACTGATTCACCTGTTAATATTAAACATAATAGATGAAATGATCAGATGTCTATAACTCTGTTTAATAAAGGGGTAATATTATTATAATTATTCCCCAGCTGTCCCACGGGATCCTGCTGGGTGTGGTCGGCACTGACATCCCTCTGATGGAGGTGATGAAGCTGGCGCCCAGATACATGGTGAGCTCAGTGTGGACGTGGACCAAACAGGAAATGAGTTGTTCTTTTCACAATAAAAGCCTTCCGTTTGTCTCCTCTTCCCACACAGCTGGGAGCTCACGGCTACGCCTTCCTCATCACCAACAACGGATACATCCTGGCCCACCCGGACCTCCGACCACTGGTGAGCTAAACACATTCACTAGACTTCTGTTCAAATGAAGAGATGTCCTGTTTATTTCACCACACACACTCACACACACTCTCACACACTCTCACACACACGCACACTCACAGTGACAGTAACGGGGTGTCTTCTGTCCGACAGTATAAAGATGGAAAGAAGCTGAAGCCGAAGCCAAACTACAACAGTGTGGATCTGTCTGAGGTGGAGTGGGAGGACACAGAGGAGGAGGTAACTCGTCACAGTTTATAGTCTCTGAGCAGCTTTCCTTTGATGTCAGTGTCTCTGATACAGATTCAATAAATGAACAACGATAAAGGAAAAAAACACCAGAAACAATAAAATCAGAGCAGATACGAAGGAAATATAGATAATATGATACAAGTTTAATATTTAAACAGTTAAAACAATTTTTTCATGTCTGTGTATCTTCCATAACTCGTCTTCTTTCAGACCAGAGGAAATAAAACATTTATTTTATTACTTTGTCTGTTTACGTCTGTAGATTTCTACTAAAAGTTACCGTTACATAATGCCTAATTTGCATATTTAAACATAACATAACATAAGCTTGTAATAAATACTCCTCTTGATGTGAGTGATGAAGTGGTGAAGTTTCATGGTGATGTCTATGAGTTCATGTTGTGACTCTATTCACCTGTAGAGTCTTCTTAATGTG